ACTAGCGTGCGTCTGTCACAACACGAGCCAAGATCAGCTGGTCGGGGACTGACCTCTTGACCTTACTCGGAATGTTTAGCGTAATTCCATTCATTGAGGGGGGGGGTCTGCGGTCAGTGGTCAGGGTCAGTGGTCACTACAGCGCACGTCCCCTCCCTCATTTCTGATCTCTTTCTGTCGGCTCAGTGCTCACCCCACTGGAAGGACAGGGCGTTGGTGGAAGAGGGGAGGGGTAGAGGAGGAGAGCAACGAAAGGAGTTTGAGATTGGGAGAAGAGGGGGGGAGTTGTGAGATGGAGAATGGGAGAAGAAATAGAAGATGTGGGATGGGGAAGGGGGGAGGGGAGAGAGGTGGGGGAATGAGAGAAGAATAAGGGGATGTCTTTGTGTGCTTTCTACCTACATCCTGTCCCTTTCTCTTTACCACCCCACCCCCCTCCTCATATGTCGGTCTATGTGCCACTCTATCTGTCTGCATGTTTCATCTTAATATCTCCTTCTCTCTTCCTCTCTCTCTCCCTCTTCCTCCCTCTCTCTCTCTCTCTCTCTCTCTCTCTCTCTCTCTCTCTCTCTCTCTCTTTGTCTTTCTGTTACTCCCCCCCACCTCTCTCTCTCCCTCACTTTCTTTCTCTCTATCTCTCTCTACCCGGTAGTGAATGCAGCTCCTCGTAGTCAATATGTCTCTTTCCTCCTGGTAGAAATTTATCATTAATTCTCACTTGTGGAGGGGGGGGGGAGAGGTGAATGTCAAGACATTTTGAGTGAAGAAGGGTTATTGAGTGAGAGAAAGAATAAATGCGCATATGAGTGAATGAGAGTGTGAGAGTTTAGTGTGTGACAGTTATATTCTCTCTATCAGCTCTGAGTGACGGACCAGGAAGAACAGACACACAAGATACAATTGTATTGATTTTGTCCAGGACACGGGTACGGGGGCAAGAGACGGGGAGATGGGTTGCCGGTTTGGGGATGAAAGTGCAACTTCAGAAACGGTATATCTCCCCATTCTCTCCTAATGACCAATTTGTTCATCGCAACAATCAAGCTCAGACAGAGGTATAGAAAATCCCGCGGATAAGATAAACAAATAGAGTACGATTTCATCTCTTTTGCTCTCTCGAATGCTGGAACATGAAACTCCCTTTTCTCCAGTTGTATCTGGGCCTATTCCCCCTATACTCCCCCGACTCCCCCCCTCTCCCTAAACTCTCTCAAGTCTCGTGAGACACCACGAGTTCCCGTGTGTCCACGTGATTTGCCGGCTTGACAGTGACGGATAAGACAGGAACCAGAACCCCCGGGAAGGATCAGTTGTAGAGGGGGGCACACGGAACCACGGCATGGGGCGCCACACGGCCGTCGCGCCTAACAGAATTAGGAGGAGAGAGATATCGAGAGAGATAGAGAGAGAGGAAGAAAGGGGGAGAAAGAGAGAGAGAGGGAGAGAGAGAAGAGAGAGAGAGAAAGAGAGAGAGAAAGAGAAAGAGAAAGAGAGAGAGAGAGA